ATGCAAATGAAGGAAGTTGAGCAACGCGCGAATCCGCAGACGATTCATAATATATATACATATATATATATATATACCTATGCACTTTTGGGACGCATTGCATCTGGAAGAAAGGAGATGAGATGGGAAGTAGAATTTATGTATGTTAGATCGTCGAGAAATGTGTTTCACTGATGACGATGGATCAGTTCAACGTCAGTATACGTAGACTATTCGCGTTCTCGCTACTTTTCGTGACGCATCGCTCCGCGCAGCTGAGAGAAAGTGCAACGTTTTCCTCTCTTGTCGCTCTTTTCACCGCAGAAAATTTCTACATCAGCAAACTAAAGGGCTTAGTCTTCTTATAGCGCGCATTTATAAAATAATTATATTTATATAAATTATAGAAACAATTTATTTAAAAAATGTTATTTAAATTTTTAATGTTTATTTTAATTACTTTAAATTTGAATAATTAAGCAACACGATGGGATTTAATATTTATTAAATTTTACTGTTTCTTAATAATTAAAATTTAAAATAATTAAAATAAAATTTCTAACTTCAAAATTGATAAATAAATAGAAAAATATGATAATAAATAAAAATGATTGTGTTGAAGAAATTACCAGAGAGTTATAAACATTTTTTTATTTTTTTGTAAGTTTATGAATGTACAAAAAATATAAAATTCCACAATTTGAAATTTGAAAACAAATTATATATTATTTACATTTAACAGATTTATTGAACATGATTTATATAAAGGAACATTGCATTTTTTGCGACACGGATATTCGTCGTCGTGATTCGCACGGCTCGGCATTTAAAAGAATTATAGCAAACTTTCTACTATCTCCCGATACGTTTCACGTTCCGGAGAAACGCGAACAGCGTGGTCCAATTCGCGGCGAAAAAAGGATTTTTCGTCCCGGAAAACGGAAAAGTGCTTCAATCAATGGAGACAAAGGAAAGATCGGAAAATGCATCCTTTATATATTCCCGCTTTTTGTCCAATGCAATGGCTGGCCATTCATTGTACTACTTTAAGTTCTTTAGAGCTAATCCATAAGTTAAAATAGTGATAGTACTCGTATGCATCGTAATACAATTTATAAAAAATAGAAGCTGCTGCTATTTATAAGTGCAATTTAAATTTTTTTAAATTCTTTGAATTTAGTAATATTAATTGGTATACTATGTCATCATTTTGTACTCAAAGTTATTATCTTGTCACATTATTTACCGAATTATTGTTTTAAATATACTTTTTTCTTTTTCATGCCACATTACTACATATATATTATTATTTATAATAAGATTTTGCTTTTATTACATACAACACATTACTATAATTTTAATTATAATGATAAGAAAATTTATGGAAAAATTTATAAAAATTTTAATTACTTCACTTTTAATTATTAATTATTATACAAGTCGTAATCTTCACAATAATTTATCCATTAGACACAACACATTTTTCTAACAATATCTCTATATAATTAATATTTCTTAATATAAATATAATAATAATTTCTTAATATAAATATAATAATAATCTATATAATTAATATTTTTTAATATAAATATAATAATAAATATAAAAATAAAAAAAATATAATAATATAATAATAAAAATATAATATAATTTCTTAATATAAATATAAAATATAAAAAAAAAAATATATAAAATATAATAATAAATATTATTATTATTGAATATATTTCATGAATAACTTCTCTGTGAACACAAATATATTTGCTAGATTTTTCAAACTAGTAACATTGATTCCCGAAATACACAGATAAATTTCACTTACCAATAATATCCGAAGGCGCGTATATTGTAGTGGAACGTCGGGTTACAATAACGCGTAGAAACGCGATGCTCGATATTTGGTCTATTTAGGTCACGCTAAACGATGGGATCCAAAGTTCTAGAAGCAAACATCCAGAATGAGCGCTCGACAAAGCCGATACCTCTGTTTGCTGTGCACAAAGAATGCATGAATTCGATTGGCGCGAATGATAACGTACGAGAATTGTTACGCCACGGTAAACTTAAACGTTTTGAACTTGGTGCTCCTCGGAGCGACATCCTAACTTGTGCTAATCTAATTGACGAGCCTTGAGGTCGACCTCCTTTGGTCTACCGCTTTACCCTGCCATGAATCCGATGATCCCCGCGGGCTACATCCTAGACACGACGATGTAACGCATCTCATATACATACACGTTTCGCATAGGCTAAGAGCGCAAAGTTGATTTTGACGTCGTTCGCATTTGACGATGCGATCCTCTCAGGCGTTCATTAATTGTGCGGAAATTTGCAAAATTCTTCATAGCCTCGCTAGATTATTTTTCCTTCGTTTACGTGCGCTTTATATAGAATATATTTATTATTTTACAAAATATGTAAAATTGAATTTTTTTCTGCATTTTTTCTACGCGATACAGTTTTCTTTGAAAGAGGAACACGTGATGATGGCTCCTGTTAATTTTCCAGAAAATTTCAATCTCATCTATCTTCTTTTACAACGTACTTTGGTATTAAACTAATTTATGCATATTTATTTTTAGCTATATGTAATGTTTATCAGGAACAAAATTTTTCCATTAAACTCTTGGGAATTTTTTATGAAAGCAGAGAAGAGAGAAACTTAAAATTGAAGCTTTTTGAAATAAATATCATAATTTATTCAAGATCCGTAAGACGATTTATATACAACAATAGTAGCCCAATTTCGCAATTTTTTATTCTTTAACTACTATATATGTTTAGCTATATAAATGTTTATCAGGAACGAAATAATTTTTCCATTAAACTTCCTGGAATTTTCTATGAAAGCAAGACTACAGAAGAAAGAAACCTAATTGAAGTTTCTCGAAATAAATATCATAATTTAGTCAAAATACGTCAAAAGACGATTTACATGACAGAAGCAGCCAAATTTCGCAAATTTCGATCGTTGTGCGCGAGCTATTAGTTGCACGATATAATTAAATCGATCGAAACTTAATTACAGGCACACTTGCATACTTGTCTGCTCTACAACTCAGAACGTGCGCTGACGCATCTCGCAGCTATTTTCCTATGGAATGTGCATACGGTGTAATCAATTAAGATGTGTATTTGCTCGTAAGTTGCAATATAGTGCGAGTAATTTCGCGCCAGTTAATTGCGCGAGTAGAGAGATTCTATCACGAGATATATCGGTATCTCTACACTTGTGTAATAATGTTACGACTTGCGATTGTCGGTGCCGTTTTCGTGATTCGCGTATTCGCTTATGATGTGCATCATTTTCGGACAAGCTTGCCACAAAGCCACCTTACGAAATTTAATGGATACTTTGGACACGCTTTCCCGGGTGCTTCGCTTCCGTATTAATAAGGAAAGCACGACATTCCCCGAAACAAGGCCGATAAAACGGAATATTTCATGAGACAGAGGAAGATGTAGCTCTCAGTTTATATTAGAGTAATTTGGTTCGTTGGGCGTAATAATGATACAGTTATACGATTTACGGTTAAAAAATAAATAGAAATAAATTATACACTGCACGCAGCTTTTCTGTTCTGATTTCAAATTAACGCGATATTTTAAATTCACGATCTAAAATAAAATTATTAATGGAGAAAGAAAAATTTTATATAAAATAGTTTTGTCATAGATACCCGAATATTTAAATTATATTTGATAAAGTAATCAAAACTTTAAATTATATGTACATTTTTTCTTCGATATTCTCAATTATAATTAATGATTTTATTACATGAATTGTTGACCGACTTTTTTGCGGCTCTAATAACATAGATTTATATGCGATTAATTTGATGTAATGCATCGAAATTGGTAAATTATTTTTGCTGTTTGTTATAATTGGCGTATAATCTTCAAAAATACATTTACAGAGAACATAAGTATATAATATTGTATAACTTTCTACAAATACTTACTATAATTAAAGTTAGATATCCGTTCAATGAACGATACGCTGTTGCAACGAGCGCATTCGTGCAGGAAACGAAGCGTCGAATAGCGGAATGCATCTCCAACCTATATATTATGAAAATTGAGTAATTGCGATTTTGAACCTTGCAATATTTTTTTCTTTATATTATCGATCGAAGATTCAAGTTTTGTAAAATATTATAAAATATGCCTACATTATATATGTATATTTTATTATATAATATTTATCATTCTTATTATATAATATATAATAAATATATTTAAAATTTATCATTTTTATATATATAATGTATTATATTCACTGTGTACAAACATACACACATTTAATATAAATTTATTTTCAAACTTTTATTACTATTTTTTACAAAATTGAATTTGGATCATATTAAAACTATTGAAACGCAAATTGAAGAGAATATTAACAGATGTGTAGCCTTGACCGAAATATACTGTATATCTTCGTGCAACATCGTTGCAAACGCGGGATGAAAACTTTTAATAAAGCTTGCACGCTGCATTGCGGTCTGGAGTTTTATGTTATACTCCCTAAGGTGAGCAGGCTCTCGTAAACGAGGTCATCCTCACAATGTTAAAAATTGAGCCTGAGTGTATAGCGGAATCGTATCCATTTCCGAGCTCTCGATCGACATCTTTCTCTTGAATTTTAATCAGCACCGCATATGTCATGCGCATACTGATATTGCCAACATTCCACAAGTAGAAAGATGTTTAGATAAGTGTATCTTTTGTTAGAATTTTCTTTATCATTCCTATGAACCTTTAAATCTATTTTTATCATTTTATATTTTAATAAAACTATATTTTTTTATAAATACGTATTTATATATTATTAATATATTATTATTATATATTAATATATTATTATATATAATATTATATTATTCTTATATATTATTAATATATTTATAATATTAAATATACATATAAAGTAGATACATTATCTCCTAAAAAATATTATAATACATATATACATATAATACGCAAATACAATGAAAATAATATTGAATACTATTTTTTCCAGAACGAGCGAGGAGATCTAACGGACAGAGATGACTCGTGGAAGAACATCTATCCTCATATTGGGATGCATAGGTGAGTCGGCACAAAAGGCGATATTAAATATTCTCCTTTTCGCGATATGCGCGAGAAATAGACTGCGTTCGTGCGTTTACTCCGGAAAAGGAGGAACGGTGTTTCTGAAAGGGGATTATATGCATGCGATTTTTATTTCATATCGTATTGCGCGGGCGCGCGTCGCCGCGTCGTCGTCAAAGAGAATGGGCGAACATCTTCTCCCGGCTGCATCCTGTTGCATTGTGAACTCGTGATGTAAAGCCTGCCAATCGAGGTGACTGCGCCAAGTACTGTTAGCTTTACTGCAACGCGCGCCCGCCTGCAAGTTAACTGTAACTTGCAGCTTAACAACAAAATCTTACATCGACTCCGTCTCTCTTTCATTTACAGCGAATGCTGCCGATAAACATTTTTTCACCTTTTAATCCTAGTAACACGCAGCTAGACAGACGGACAGACTGCAATTATATTGTACAGTCTAGATAGAAATCTAAAATAAACATATGTACATTAATTATCTTACATATTTATTTATATAAAAAAAATATCGACGAGTCTTTAAAAGAATCTTTGTGAGTTTTTGATAAATTAAAGTCTAATGGTGGTATAAATATAGCCAATTAGCTAGAATGTCTGTAAGATAAGCGCGTTTTAATAACCGTTGATGCAATATATAATAATGAGCAATTATTTTAGTGACGTTTCCAAGTAATTAAATGCGAATAATTATATATTTACCAACTGTGTGTGAGTAGAGGAATTTAAACAATATATCTTATTCTTTTGAACATTCTATTGCACTTTGCACTATGATAATGAAAACATTAATAATCATGCACGCGTGTCATCTTTATAAACATTAAAATTATTTTAATTGACTTTTCATTTAGATATATTATTGAGCAAGACTTGTTATAATTACATAGAAAACCATGTGAAAATTCTCAGTAATTATGTTAAAAGTGTTGTATGTGAAATGTAAGAAGTGTGTGTATTGTAAAATGGAAGAGTTAGGAAGCATTCTATTATTAAAAGACTCAAACTAAACGAATAAACACGTAATTAATTAAATTTTTGTTTCAACTTTATTGTACACATTTTTATGTAAAAAAAATATACACTCACAAATATATCAAATTATTTTATTCTTGTTTCTTTGATATATAATATATTAATATTGAAAAGTAAAGAATTAAAAAGCAAACATTATAAATATCATAAAAATGCGAATGTACATAAGAAATGAAAATATATATTCTGGAAAGGGAGATATATTTCAAGAATAAAATGAAGATTTATACACATTTTTATGTGGAAGAACTCACAAATATATCGAGTTACTTTTTTCTCATTTCTTTAATATAATATAATTTTTTTCGATATATATATAATATTGAAAAATAAAGGATTAAAAAGCAAACATTTTAAATATACAAAAAATGCGAATGTAAATAAGAAATGAAAATATATATTCTAGAAAGAGAGATGTATTTTAGGAATAAAATGAAGACTTATTTACGAAAGAAGTCGGCCTCTATAGAAAATCGATATCTCGCCATAAAATCTTGAGTGCAAAGATGCAAATGTCGCAGCAGCATCGAGAGTGTCGCAGTCAGGTGGAAAATTCTCGCGCTGTCAATAAAATAAATATTTATCCTGACGCTCTCTTTCGTACAGTCGTCCACGTATATATATCGAGACGTAGATCAACGAGACACGCGAGGACACGAAGCCTGCATAATTTCGAGGTCTGCTTAAGTATTCAAACGCATACCTCTTCGCTGCGCGCGAGCTTTCAATTTCCCGTATAGAACTGTATCACGTGAATAGCTATAGCTAGCTCTAGCGAAGGAACTCCCCGGTAATTCCACGGACAACCGGTTTTTCGGATCCATTAAACGCCTCATCTACGCTCTCGTCACATTTTTATTTGCACGCCTCGGTCGAGAACCAGTTGTCGACTCGTGTCGTTGTTGACTTCTGTTTTCGTGCGTCAGCGAACGCGCTTATTTCGGGGGCTTATTATCATAAATCAAATTTGATTGTCAAATATATTATTAAGAACCCAGACAAGGAGGCAGCCGAGCATCGGAGGCTAAATTTTTCCACGTGAACCTGTATAAATATTTTGCAAAATTGTAATATAATTAATTATATAAAAATTATAATAAAAATATGATTAATATAATACATATATTCAGAGCAAAAGGTTACAAATATGAGGTAATCATTGTGTTGGAAAAATAAAACAAAACAAAATATAAAAATAAAATAAACGAAATATCTTATTCAAAAACCTTTCTGTTGCTCTTCGGCAATTTGTTAATGGAAATTTTTCTACATATATTTATAAATATTTTGCAAAGTTGTAATATAAAGTATATAGAAAATTATAATAAATAAATGATTAATGTGACACATATATTCGGAGCAAAAGATTACAAATATGAAGTAATTATCGTGTTGGAAAAACGAAACAAAATATAAAAATAAAGTAAACGAAATATCTTATTCAAGAATCTTTCTGTTGCTCTTCGGCAATTTGTTAATGGAAATTTTTCTACATATATCTATAAATATTTTGCAAAGTTGTAATATAAAGTATATAGAAAATTATAATAAATAAATGATTAATGTGACACTTACATTTGGAGCAGAAAATTACAAATATGAAGTAATTATCGTGTTGGAAAAATAAAACAAAATAAAATAAAATAAACGAAATCTCTTCTTCAGGAACCTTTCTGCTGCTCTTCGGCAATGCGGTCGCGGAGATTACGGAAGCGTCCACTGTGTCAGAGAAATCTGATTCGCAAAAGGCATCGCCTCCCCACGAAGTTACGACGGTCTTAACAACTTCTTCGATCCATCAGAATCTATCAATCGCGGAAACAGATGGAAGTAATATCGAGTCGGCGAATGGAAAAACTCGTAACCGGGAAGATGGATCGCATGAAAACGTCAGCGATAAGGACGTGGAGAAAAGCAATGTGTCACGTAACGAAAGCGACACGACACGCGCGAATTCGAGCAAATCGACCGACGAGGATTCGAACAGAAAGCCGAGGTACGAAGATGCCGAAAGCTCCGGGAAAAGCACCAGCGCGAAGGTCATCCCCGAGGACGCTCTCAGACTCTCCAGCACGAACGAACTGACTGTGGAGACCACAAAACTGGCTTTCAACGACTCGAAACAGGACGGCAAGAAGAACACCACACTTCAGGAATTTTTCAACCACGAAGGAACAACCGTCTCTCCAAGTGTGGAAGACAAAGTCGAGAAATTAAAGGCGAATCTTGTAAATTCCCCGGAATCCAAGCATGGAGATGAGCAATCCTCTACCAGGTACGAGGAGAAAAAAAATATAACTGCGGCAAATAAGACAGAAGCAACGACTGTCAAATCTATCGGAGGAGATCTCTCCTCGACGTATTCAAAATTGATAGCCGAAGACAAATTCGACGAAAAGAAGGACAAAGCTGTAAAGTCTGACAAGGACATTGTCTCGAAGAGCGAGTCGAGGAAGAACAAAGATGTAATTTCTGTTGATTTGAAGGAGGACCTAGAAAATGATCGAGAATTGACTACGGCGAGCGAAATTCAGCGGGAAAATTCTTCGGGGTCCAAAAAGAATGGGAACGATTTCGGGACGACGGCGTCCGAAGCACTCGATCTGGAAAAAATCGACGAAAAGGGAGTCGAAGGAGGTATTTCGCTAATTAACGACACGTACGTGAATTACAATCATGTTTACCGCACCTTATCGCAAAAGGATCCCAAGGCTAGCTCGGGTAATCACTCGATCGACTCTCGTGACTCGCGCGGGAAAAATGACCCGAAAGAAGAGGTAGAGGTCGTTAAGAACGTGAGCCATCAACCGACATTGAGGATCGTATCTAGTACGAACGAGACCGCAAAAAACGATTCCCACTTTAATGAATTGGACAACCAGGACGCGGCTGTTTACGCCGAGAAAAAAGAAGAGAGCGAACAAAACTCCTTCGCCATCAACGCGACCGTCGAGAGTACGGATGGTACGGAAGAGCGGAAATCGATAGGAAAACCCGAGAGTCAGGTGAAATTGGTTGAAACAACGACTCAGAGCATGCGACTCGAAGGACACGCTTCGTTCATCGGCGAAGCCACTCCTAGTCCCGTTCCGCAAGGTCGAACCATCGGTTTTTCCCGAGTTAACGAGTTCCCGAACATCGAAATGAAATCCACGCCGCCGATCAAAATTGACGGAAGAGTCGAAACGTCGTCAGCGGTCACTCCGAGTTTGCGGAACAGCACGGAAAGAATGAATCAGAAACCTTATCCCTATCTGAAGTCCAGCAAGGAATTGTTGCAGATGACGACAGAGGCCGGTTCGAAATTGGAGAACGAAGGCGTTACCGAGGAAACTTACGAAAACACGATCGGAAGAGGCGAATTCGAGAAGAAGTTTGTCGTCACGGAACCTTCGGTTGTGATCGAAAACAGCATTCAACAGCAGAAACTGGATAAGAAAAATATCGACAAGTCTACAAATTCCACGACGGAAACTCCCGCTTCTCTAATAGCTGCGACGGCGATTCCGACTGTTTCAGTTGTTGCTGGACCAACGAATGGAACTTTTCCGGAGAGATTTAACAGCAGCACAAATAAGGCCGCGAGAGGCTCAAACGACAATGACGTGTCAGGTGCAAAAGAGACGGAGAAAGCAAGCGCGGTTGGAGGCGAGGGTTACGATGTGACCGGAAATGGTATAACGGAAGTCAGCTCGACTCCGGACAGCAAGGAAGTGAAATCGCATTCCGGCGAGAAATCGACGGAATCGTCAACGTTGCGTTCCACGAAAATGCCGAATGCGTCGAGGACGATTCCGCCGAACCCGGATATTCAGATGGAACCAGAAGAAGCGATGATGATACGCTCGACCCTTGTCGTTACCGAATCGACGATGGTTCCTGCGGAGAAAGCGACGGAAGCAAACATATCTACGTCTTCGACGTCTTCGGCGTCAACAGTCGAGATCGGCACAGCTGCGATCATTTCCGACAATTTCACGGAATCGACCACGAAGGCGAACGTCACTTCCTATCCCCAGGCTTCCTGGAACATTAATCGTACCACGTTAAACCCCGACGAGTCGCGAATTCCGACAACTACGTCCGTCGAATTCGAGGTCGTCACTCTCACCGAGACCGTTTCAACGAATAACACTACCGAGAGAAACATCGAAGGGCAAACCTTGGAGGCACAAACAATGTCTTCGAATGCGACGACGATACGAAATCTCGATTTATCGGAGAACTCAACGAACGAAGCGATCACCGCAACGAAATCCGAGGAGTCCACCGAATTTCCGACGACCACCGAAGACGGAGCCTCAACGACGGATCAAGTATCGATTATTCAACGCAACAACGAGACCGTCCAAGCCAGGAATCCTCCGGTTACTCAGACCTCAGAGGATCAAAGCAATCGCACGGAGCTCAAACATTCCGAAGTTACAGTCGATACCGCGGATGCTGGAACCTCCGGCGGTACCGAGACTCCTTCAGGGTCTAAGGATTCGAGTTTCGACGCGAACGTCACCGAGACGTCCGCTCCAGCCGCGACGCAACTTCCGAAATCGGGTGTCACCAGCAACGCTACGAAGAGCCCTTCAGCCCCGTTCGCCACAAGTACCACGGAGACGAGAATTGTCTGGAGTACGCCTAGCTTGGAGCTGCCTGACGAGGAGACCACGGAAAATATCCAGGTTCTGTCGGCGGACGAGATCACGTTGCTGGTGAAAATTGTCATCGAGGGAACCCTCCACGAGGTCTGTCCTCGGCTGCAGGACTTGAAGAAGGCGCTCGCGAATGTCCTCTCAAAGGGCATGGACAAGTAAGTAGTGCTTTTGTTTCGATAAATCTCTCTTTATTTCTGTTCGCGATTTTTTTCTAATTTCTTTTTTACTAGATATTATATTTATGCGGTAATCAAACATATACATTGATTTCTGTAATTGAGGATATTTTTATCATTAAAACTATTTTAATTTGTATTACATTTAATTTTATTATTTTCGGAAAAATAATATGATTATATAATTATATAATTAAAAGAATATAATTATGTAATTAAAATAATATAAGTAAAAATTTTTAAAAATTTTTCTGCATATTTACATATTTGTTTAAACACACGGTAATTTAAATACCGTGTCGTTTGTTAGTAATAGATAAAAATCTCTTTCTTGCTTACAATTAGATAGATAATGTATGTACATATATAACAGCAATATTGTTGTATTTTATGAATGTAAATATATATCCGGCAATTAAAGCAATGATAAATTGTACATTCAGAATCACAGATTTACATTCCGAATTCATAGAGAATATGGAAATTTATTTTAATATAAAATAGGATTCTCTACAGCATATAAAGAATGTTATGTACGTCAATATTTGTTTACGTCAAAGCTTGAAAATTCTGTAAATAAAAATAGCTGAAAATTTAAAAAAAAATAAAAAATTCAACAAACACACGTATTTAGCGCTCGTTTACATATCGTGCAATAATCCGTTTTGCAGACACGTATTGCCGAAGCAAATCATCGTTCATCAAAATCCTTGCTCCGAGCTGGCAAATTCGTCCCTAACAACCATGGACAGTTCCCTAACTTCGCTTCTGGTTTACGTCGTTGACGAGGACAACAAATTCGACACCGCCATGACGAAGATTCTACCAAGTTTATACAAGGTGTCTGCCAACTTCCCAGTGAGAGTAAGTTGAAAACGGCGGAGGAGATCGGGCGCGGATTAGAATGTATATATATGTGCTAGTAATTATGTTCTGTTGAACATGAACGAAAGTCTATTATAACTCTTGCTCTTCCTTTGGCACTTCTCGTTAAAATTTAATACAACCGAGAATCTTTCATCACCTCGGAAGTAATTCTCGGTTGAGGATGTCGAAGATATTTCTCTACGAAGCGCTCCTTCTCTGTTACAATCATGATTGATCGACGTTGCATCGTATGATGAAAGTAATTTAGATCATATTCGGTCAAACTAATCAGATATAATCGATGGAGCTTCTTTATTAAATTTCTTCAGGTCATTGATTCCTTTCAGATACACAAGTTTCTTCTGGTACCGGAAGCGGACTCCGGAAACGCGATAGCTGTCGTCGTGGTCTCCTCCGTGGCCTTCATTTGTCTGGTGCTTTTAGCCGGGCTCCTGGTAAGTCATTTCATTCGTTCGCTTATTTTTAACAGCCTCGAAAAAATGGAGATATCCACGCTATTGTATTCGAATATATTTTGATTGACGTTTCTATTGAATTGACGTGACATCGCGAATTATTATCTTTTACGCGAAATAAAAGATACTACGCGCGAAACGCACTTTCGAAATCGATTCGCGTGCAACATATATATGCAAGGTTGATTGAAGTTTTGATTGACATTTTTGCGAGGTGTAATTGCGAGAGAAATCTAAAAAGCTCGAATCGTTCGTACATATATTCATATACATAAGTGACTTTCTCTATTCCATCTTGAAATTCTGAATGCAAACGCATGTCGTATCTTTTTTTCTCTCTCATGTCGCGTTTTACGCGTCACGTAGCGCGTTTTACCGAAGAATCGAAGCAGAAAATACTAATGTTTCAAGATACAGCTGCGCAGGTCCGCGAAAATCTATGCTCGTTGACGTTTAGCCTGCTGCGTCGCGCTTGCATGGCGATAAATCTGCATTCGCGAGGTGTTACACGTCTCCCTCCTGTCCACACTCATAATTCTCTTGCAGCGTACGTAACAGTTCATGATAATATGCCTATATATATATATATATATATGTATGTATGTGTATGTGTGTTGTCACCTGAGAGAGGTGAAAGACGATGTTCTCTTCCTCGTCGCGCGGATGACGCGATAATACGCAATGCATGCATAATATGTATGTTTTACACGAGAGATTTGTATTTTTTTTCCTCGTTTTAATTTCACGAGATAATTACGAGGCTTATTATATAATTTTTTTCTCTATTTTTTTGATCACGCTTACGTTGACATCTCGTTTCTTTGTATTTGTACGTGCGTATATGTATATGTATATATATATATATATATATATATATATATATATATATATGTATGTATGTATGTATGTATGTATGTATGTATGTATGTATACCTATATGCACGACTTACGAATGAGAATTAATCGTTTCACGAGAAACCGAGAAATTGTATATTCCCGTAATGGATATTTTGTTTACGTAACCATTCTTAGACAGGAGAGAACTTTGAATAGCGAAAATACGAGAAATTGCAAAAATTAATATGCGAAATATAACGCTTGTGTATCGCGTTGCATATATTTTACTTTTGTGACATTTTTTTCTACAGTCTAATGCTACGATATATTTCTTTTTGTTTTTCTGCGATAACGTTACCGCAAGATCTAGCGCTTTGCGCAGCATTTTCAGTAACATTAATACAGTGCTCGCGCAGCATGCAACAATTAATTTTAATGAACGTGTAATATAATCGTAAAACACATCGAAGCGGAATGTAAACCGACGAAACTTAACGAATTAATTAATAAGGAAGAGGAAGAAAATGATTACGTTAGGAAATTTTTAACGATATCCCATTCCATCTTTGAAACGTATTCTTGTTGGAAAAGCAATCTTTCGCGAATTAATTGACCGGTGAACTTGATCAAGCTGGTAAATTTATTAAAACATGTTTTTTCTATTTAGAAAAATATTTTTTTCCAAATTTATATCTGCAACGATCGAATCGACGGCGTAAATCGTATAAAATATTAGAAATACAATAAAAAACGATTGTCAATAAAAAATACGATACAAAATACCGTATCAAATCGATGCGATTTATTACGAAGAAAATTGATTGAACGCAGAATTGCACATAAGGGAGATTAGCCTGTAAAACGTAAAATATATCGACAGCATCGCGATAAGACGATAATTAACGATGAAAGGATCGGCTGACGCGTCTTTTTTCCAGAAGGAATGAAACGTTCGCGCATGTGATTATCCAGCCTTGAACGGCTGATTAGATTGGCCAGCAATAATCGACGTTCCATCAGCGCCATTGCGGTATTTCTTGCGGTCGTGTTTGTTATGAATTACGCGAATGACAATGTTGAAATAGCCCACCTGCCACGCATTTCGCGAACTCACGTAACTCCATTTCGCTGACCGTCGCTAGATTTCCACCATTTCTTCTCGGATATGTCGACCGTATGACGTAATTGCACAAAACTGTGTCGTTGGTCTCGATCGTAACGAGAAGTCGAGAACCCATGAATTACAATTTATTTTGACAACTGACATATCAACGATATTATGATCTGTCTACTTCATATTATTTTTTCTTACGTAGATAAATTTTTACCAAATAATTATTAATAATTATTTTTAATAATAATAATAATAATTTATTTTTTATTATTAATAATTATTTTTAATAATTATTTTTAATAAACGATTACTTATTAAATCGAGGATTTATGAGAATCCACGACACACCTTTATCGTTTGTCTGAATATATTTTGCACGCTGGCGCGAATTGCAGTTCTCGGTTCACTGCATGGCCACAAAGTTAACCGCCACCGCGTTTCGAGATATTGTGAGTATTCGTAGAGATGAGTTAGGGCTTTTCTTCTAGGGAAAAAAGAGTACAAAATTGCGAACACAGTAAAACTGCTAGATGGGCTTTGAGCGTTCATTTAAGTTTGAGCTGGAACGATCGCTAATCTTAGCTGCAATCATTTCCAGTTTATAATGAGAAAGAGGCAAACGAGGTTCAACTACGGAGAACGTTGTCGACCGGTATCCTTGGACGCTTACAGCCTCGACAACGTTTCGACTTATAACAGTGTAAGGCGCAAAAACGCGGTGAGATCCTCCAAGAGAAGCTATGGCAACCCGACCTTCGAAGATTCGGTAAGTTTGGGAAGAAAGATTAAATCGTGATAATATTTAAATTTTGCTTTACGTATCATATTTATGGAAATATAATTCTATAATACATTTATTAATACCGTGCGATATTTTTTGTCAGATATTTTTTGATTCCTCCTTTCATATGCACATATTATTGTTTGGTTAACATATAATAGTGTAATTTTTAAAGGGATTTGTATTTTTGTGGAATACGATTAAAAATACGGATTGTTATGATTACAAGGAAAATATTAATATTTTACTTTTAATCGAATAAATATACATGTTTTTAAACGAATAATCTTTTTAACGCATAGTTATATTTTTTCATTAATTTATAGTATTGATTTTCTTTTTATAGCTACTACGTGTTACGAAAGTATAAAAGTATATCTAAGTAAAACGCGTTTTTTCAGGTAAAAGAATGATTAACAATAATATATTGCTCATATCCAAATAGCTAAATATAATAGAAATATGTATATTATATAATAATAATAGATGCGATTACAGAGGAAATTATTAGTTTCTATTATTGAGCTATCATAATTTTTTATTATTAAAACATTGACACTGCTTTATTTCGATCTGTCAACATTATTAAATTCTTTGAGACAGATTCTGCATAATTTGTATCTGCTAGCAAGCTTTGTAAACTCTCTGTTCTCGACAGAGGTAACTAGATCTGTTTGCACATTTATATAAAATGACATATGCATAGATAAATTATCTTGAAAACATTAGTATATCAGCATTTGTAGCAACAATATGTATCATATATAATTTTTAATTATGCAAGAAATTATTTGGCGCAAATGTATCATTCTTTAAAGTATTTATGATTTTTATTTATAAAATTTTATTAATATTTATTAATATTATAATATAAAATTATATGTGCAAAATGCAATATACACATATACTTTATACTTATCTAAAATCATTCTGGTTTTAAATTTATAAGTTAAATACAGTCCGCTAAAGCTGCCTCATAATTTCTGTCAAAATAATCCTATATACGTATTTTTTCACTCGATTAAATTTTCGCCCCATTTTTCGCAATCAAATTTTCCGATATCGCGTGATCTTTCCCCGTAGCGCTTGATCAAAGAAAACGAGGGCGTGTTTCTCTCTCTCTCTCTCTCTCTCTCTCTCTCTCTCTCTCTCTCTCTCTCATGATGTCAAGCAAAGTCTCTAGAAGAGACATTTTCTTATTTCAGAGCGCCATTCCCTCTCATCCCCTGAACTTCGCCGGGCTTTCATCTTTCTGTAACGACGTTAACGCAATCAACGAGGAGTTCGCGGGTATACCCCAAGTTTCCGGAAAGATAGACGAGTTGCCCCCGGGCGCTGAGGTGAAGAATAGATACGCGAATGTGATACCACTTCCGGAGACGAGGGTGCAGTTGCAGAAGCTGAACAATGATGCCTCGACCGAGTACATCAACGCGAGTTATGTGCGGGTAAGATCTTTTGATCAACCCTTTCGGTCTCGAGCAGTTGACACACATTTTTTCCCTTTACCTCTTTAATCTCAATCTTCGAGCCAACATCTACTTTAATACTTTAAACAATTTCGGATCACTCATCTCCTTTGAAACTATTTAATCGACAGTTTTATGGAAAAGCTCTGCTTTTATGATAGGTTTCTAAACTGTCGAAAAACTGTTGGTTTATTGCTTATATTTGCATACAAAATAGGAGCTTAATTCCAACAAATTCCAGCTTAATTTCTATAAATTAAACCTATCGAAATCCTTTAAAATTCATCAAATGGAGATTGAAATAACAGTCGATTGCACGTGCGGCTGTTATCATTAAAGATTCCACGAATCCAATATATATGTTCACGTAATGTGAGTTAATTTTTTAATCGATAGCGAGAGCGACGAGAACCAAAACGAGAGATAAAACGCGGCGGAGACCATAAGAGAGAACTTGATATTAATTATTCCGCGATGTCATTATAGGATAATCACACTCTTATACGCAAGATCGGATTATGTCAGCCGCGATACAGCGAATGCTATAACGTGTTAAAAACTAACAAAGCGTTTTTTGCTCAACCCGTGGGAAAGGAATGTTGCATAACGCGTCTCGCCGGGAAAGTGAGTGCATTGTATCGCATATATAAAACTGCTGGGAATCCAGACGCGGAAGCGTCAGAAATTGTTTGCGCGAAATAACTAGTTCGCCTTTTTAATCGCAACAGTTTCCACAAAACGAGGTCAAAGAGGTGCAAAGGTTAATCGTTTGCATACATTACATTACGTTGCATACGGAGGATGCATCGGGAATATATGTGTCACTCGCATGTTTTAAACGAGTCTCTAAAGAACGACAAAAATTATGCATATTTAGAAATGGATTTTTTCAAGAATTGACAAACATAAGAATTTTTTTAAACGTGTTTATTGATCCTACTTGTTATTGAAAATAATACATTAGTGGAAATATATAGAAAAATATATTGTATAATACAGCAAAAATAAAAAGTAGTGACATAATGTATACACGCGAAAGAAGTTTCTCCGCAAGCTTATATAATGCATAAATTGATAGAATTTTAGATAAAATTTTGTAATTAATTTTTTATTACGAATTATAGATCGTGTAAAATAGACTTAAATTATTAACACAGCTAAAAGCTTCGAAATAATTTAAAATAACTTACATTAATGTCTAACAATAAACTATAAAAAATTACTTTTAAATTACAGATCTTCTAAAAAACTACATTCTTTTCAAGATTCTTTGTTTTTTTTAACTTTACTTTATCATTATGTTAAAGTTTTCGTGAAACAGTTTGTGAAAAAAGATATCGTAATTATGTAGTTCGTAAAATTGCATAATAAAGCATAAAATGCTCGGCCAGCGGCAATCTCTAATAATAGTAGTAATCAGGAAAAAACCTGTTTTTCGGAATTTCATCCGATGCATATTGCATAAATAGCGGAGAGATGTTGTGAATGAGTTACATGCGCATGTCGCATCTCATAATGCGGTTTACATAATAATTGTCACATGCATTCGCGGAATTACACACGACACAATTGTTTTAACTTCGATTTAATTTCGAGATAATTTTTTCCACTCGCAAAAACACAGAGAACGTCGAAATAATTAAATTTGAAAAATATAAAATAAAATATATAACAAATTATATAAAAAGTATTTTCCGTGTCTGACGTTTCTAAATCCATAGTAAGCTGAAGCTTTTTATTATTTACATCAGTATTAAGATTTTCTTCCGCGTGTGAGATTCGACGGAAACGAGACTTTTATTGGGGAAACCTATCGGCTCTGATCGATAAACGCATCTATATCGGTATCGCCGTGATTGCTTCATATCGCGGCAATACAATCGATCCGGCATTCGCAATGCTTCCACTTTGTATACGTAACACGTATTGTGTACGTAATTACGCAGCATACGGCCATTAATGCGCGTAAATGGAACGCTGTCTGACGTGCAATTAATTTTGCTTGACGCTTAATAAGATCGCGCAATACCTCTCTCCCGAAAACACGACTACGTATCTAAATGGAATACATTGCGAGTGACAATCCTCCGCAAACAAATTGAAAGTAGATGTATTAAGATAGATTTTGTTAGGGAGAACGAAACAAGGTACCTACAGCGACGTAAAATCAAATACATATAAGAGATATTAGAGAGAAAATCTGTATTCCTTATTTTTGTCAAATTTATTAATGCAAAAAGTTTTCGAGTAATTGTGTTTATTCATAATATTAATTAAAATCAAGTTTTTTAAACGCAACAATTGAAATTCCTAAACTGGTAAATTTACTTTCTTATTTTCAAGTAATAGTGTAAAAACGAAGCAGCAATGTGAGAACATAGCGGCGTTTATTTTAAGATTAGAAAGTGTGCGAAATAGCTATTTAGAATTTCCAATGTAGACTTAAAAACGCGTACCGGTGTTTCAGGGACCTAAAAACGCTACAAAGTATTATATCGCGTGCCAAGCGCCAATAGAGTCGACCGTTACCGACTTTTGGCGAATGATCTGGGAGCAGCAGTGCAAGGTAATCATCATGCTGACTGATCTCGTCGAGAACGAAGTGGAAAAATGTACGGAATACATTCCACCGTCTGAGATAACTGACTGTCACCGGCTTTACGGTGACTTCCAAGTCACCCTAAAGAAACGGGAAACCAAAGAGAAATACGCTATCTCTTCGCTTCACTTAAAGGTAAAGATTTGTCCTAAAGCATATTTGATAATTCCAATGAATGATTAGTTGTCTTGATTATTCCAACAATTTTTATTTGCCTCAAACTGATTAATTAAATATCACAGATATCGAGAAAAGGATATATCCTAAAGATTTATCCTAAAACTGTATAAATGTTAACAGCAATAATTTTTTTAGAGTATGTCTTGATAATTCCAATTGATAATTATGATTATTTAGTGGTCTTGATTATTATTCCAACAATTTTTATTTGCCTCAAACTGATTAATTAAATATCACAAATATCGAGAAAAGGATATATCTTAAAGATTTATCCTAAAACTGTATAAATGTTAACAGCAATAATTTTTTTAGAGTATGCCTTGATAATTCTAATTAATGATTATGATTATTTAGTGGTCTTGATTATTATTCCAATAATTTTTATTTGCCTCAAACTGATTAATTAAATATCACAAATCTCGAGAAAAGGATATAATACCGCGAGAGATGTATAATATATGTATAAATGACAGCCAGAGTAGTAATCTGTAATTTTAATAGTACTGCGTTGTGTAAATAGATTGAGTAAACACTGAGAGATAAATGAAATTGCAGAATCTGGAGAACAATACGTTCCGAGAGGTATTCCACATTTGGTACCTATGGCCGGTGAGTGGCGTTCAATCGGACGGCACGGGCCTAATAGCGGTGCTTCTCGAAGCGAGGGCACTTCAACGTGGCGGCCCCGGACCCATCGTGGTCCATTGCAGTCCAGGCACAGGACGCACCGGCACGCTAATAGCCCTCGACCTGGGGATTAGACAATACGAGATTACGAGGACCGTGGATGTGCCGAGGGTCGTTTACACCATCAGGCGAGACCGTGCTGGCGCAGTTCAGACCAAGGAGCAATATGCTTTCATATACAAGGTGATGATTGTTCAAGTTCGATTCTGTTTAACGATGTAGATGCAAATTAGAGCTCGGGGCGACTATTATGTATCTATTCGGAAACATTTCCGATATCGGAATAATTTTATTTTTTCTTAGATTTCTTATTATATTATTTAGGGAAAAACAAAACGATCGGAAACCTTTCCAAACAGGTTTATAATAGCTCTCGATAGCTATCAAAGTAAATCATGAAGTTATTTATTAAAAGTTGTTTTCTCTTAAATTAAAAATAAATATAGGAATTTATCCTAACAGCGCACATATCTGAAAGAAATTCAGAGAATGTTCGGATATTCTCTGGATATTCTCTGAACATCTTTCGGACATGTTGTGCTGTTAGGGATGATGATAAATTTAATACTCCCTGCTTTTGCATAAGAAATTTACTTATAAAATAAAAAAGATATAAAAGTATTTCTATTAAAAAAATTGCAAGAATTCTATAATTAGATTAAAGAGATTTAGAAATAAAATTACAATTATCTCTACTATCATAGATGCATAGTTTATGCAAAGTTAAGTATTCTCATTACCTTTAGCATATATACGTTAGTTGCCAAGAAGATGAGTCAATCTACATTTATGATCAAAATTCCCATGATGTGGCGCTATAATCTGAAGTAAAATTTTCTTTTTCGAAGGCACTAAATCTGTACGCGACGAAACTCGCCGGCGGCGTGTTGGAATCGACGTGAAGAATGCGACTTGCGAAACTGGATTTCCATTAAAATGTCTGATTATAGCGGATAATATGTGCATGTGCGAAATCGAAAGATTTCATTTTATGCAAAAAAAACTCTCGCGCTAGTAAAAAAAAGTGCACGGATTGACCGCTAACGAAAATAGGTATAAAGATATGCCAAATGTTGCCCCTGATTTAAGGCATTCCTAATATTTCGGAGGCTCTCAAGAAAGAAGAAAAGAGGACTCTGTTATATACGCGTAAGCTATATAAGACGAAATAGTGATCACGAAATATATAAAATATATAAAACAGGGTGGATGTATGTATTTTATTAGAATACTGACTGTTATATGTGTAGCGACTAAAGCTGGACTTGCGAAGAACGAAATGTTACCTAAAGTATAACGAAGTTTGCAAATTATTTGTGATATGTATGGGTTACTTGTAAGTTTGTTAATATCAGTGTAATTCGTTTCGCTGCTGATTATGACGTTTCTGCAAAATTTTAGGGATATTCAAAGATATCACTGTTCCTTAAAAAAAAACAGATTTTTATTCGTATGTGTAAATTTACGTGAAGCAAATCTAAACTGTATTATATTTGTGTACCGTGTGACGTTTTATAATTATTTAAAATCTACTTATAAAAATAAATAATCTAAATTGACTGGTGTACGCTCTTATCAATGTTTAAGAACAAAAGAAATCCTTTTTTTCAAATTCTTTAGGTAACGGCACTATTTTTTGGATATTTCTAAGATTATGATAAAATTTTACATCGATATTAATTGCTGTGAATCGCAATGTTTCGGGAATATCAAAAACCAAAACTGAGCGAAAGATATATAAGTTTTGTTGAAACTTTAATATTGAGATTAATTATTATATTTCTTATTTTCTAACGAAGTAATGATATATAATGAATGTATTGCGATGAAACGTGTTGAGAGAAAATTTAAGAATTTTAGAATAATATATGAAGCGCGAAAAATCGTATAGCATGATCATATATCATATACAATATAATATAATTATCCTCGATAACGCAACAATTAATGTTTTTTATAATAATATTCAGACATCACGAGCGTTGATTTTAATTTTCTTTTCCAAACCAATAGATTTTTGTTATTATTGTTATTGTTATTGTTATATTGTACAGAGTATATTTCAATTTAGTGATTTGTATGTGTATGCGTGTATATGTTGCTCTCTATAACTGTAAATATGTAGAGTGTCAACGACCATTGTGTTAATTGATCTACTCTTGAGAGATTTTATTTATACATATAAATAATCATTGATTTTTAGGCCGAAAAGTACCAGTGTTCTTTTACTTTTGCGAGCCTAATTGTACGGACTGGAAACAAATGTCCGTCCACAAGTGCAATGTACCAAGTGTGTATTTAAAGTTAGTATATAATTAGTATGTATTTGAAATTAGTATATAATTATATTAATCATTATCTTTGTAAGAGAGCTCTATCTGGATTATGATTCTTTGTTATTTAATTCAAGTAAACAGTAGAATCAATTTTGATGCGTTTTTCAAATAAGTAAATTATTACTTTTTTAATTTTGATGATTTATGAATTTTATTACCGGTTTGTTTTTCAATTACTTATTTTAATTTTATTGACTATGCTATAAAAATGTTTTACATAGGCAGTTACAATCTTACTCTATCTGTCGACATCTGATTTAATGAATGAGTATTTCTTATCGATAGCGCTATTTAGATCTATACGTGTTTATATCGTATGTTTTCATGATCAATCATTTATATGTTCTCAAAAGGAACAAGATACAATTTTAATAACGTAAGAACGCATCGCAGTTTATCTCTCTAGCGTGATAGAATGTGTCGTATGTCAAATTTATAGAGATGTATTTTACATTAAACGAATTGTGTATGAAATAATATAATCATATTTGTTCCATTATTATTAATGAAATAATATAATCGCTATTAAATACTATTAAATACTGTTAATTATGTTTATGACGATCGTATCTGCGATGATATTTGTAACTGCAATTTTAGCGATTGATGTCAAAGTAGAAAAGTAAAAGCTCCAACTGTCATGTTTCAAATGATGAATTTTAGAATCGTAGAATCATAGAAGTATGAAAAGAAATTTGTAGGCGAACATTACGTCATATTTAGAATCGAAAGACATATTATAAAAGGATTTTACAAGTGATATTTATTTGATAGCCGATCTTTGAGAATATTGGACCACGATTATATACATAAAATATATATAATAATAAATATAATATTACATATAATGATAAATATAATATTGTGTAGAAAAAAATGTCAAAATCATATCAATTTAGTCTATAAGAGAGGTATTCACCCAGCAAACACAAAGTAACAATTACATAACATCAATGTTATAATTTTCCATTCAATAATATAACTGTTATGTACAAGCCATGTTATATTGCAGTTATATTGTTGAGTGGGAAATTGTAACATTGATGTCTTGTAATTGTTACTTTGTGTTTGCTGGGTATTGATACATACCAACCTAAGTCAAATTCGGAAGCTATATAAGTTTATGTCTTCAAATATATACGAAATATAATCAATCGATAAATTTGTTATATGTTGATATAATTCTTATATCTTAATAATAAAATGTTTAACTAGGCAATGCTTTCTTTTATAAACATGCGCACACATACACACATATAAAAATACATGTTGACTATATAAAACTTTAAGATTTTCACGTACATATATCGTTCGGAGTAAACTTTCGAACAATACTATACACATCGCCTTATAAAGTTTATAAAGATGAAGGAACTCGAAGAAACAATTTTTTTGAATAAATAAATTCAGTATCAATTATATAATTCAAAAGTATTTAGAGTTGAAAATGGATAAAAAATACAAATTTTACAAAACATCCTGTACAGACATAATAATAATAAATTAAATAACAATTAAATAATACGTTATTGTATATTTAAAACGTAAAATTATTTATTTACATATATATATATATATATATATATATATAATTTTCTTTATATATTACTTTATACATTCAATATTCGACATATAATACATCAAATAAGATATCCCAGACAGCAGCAAGCCCAAATTGGCGCATAAGATATCATTAAGAAATCTTTAAGACAGCTTTAAGAAATCATATGATATGATATCCGAAAGACATCTTAAACATATTTTAAAGATATCTTACGCGCCGATTTTGGATTTGGTGCTGTCTGGGATGTCTCGATCAGACTTGAGATAACACGAATTAATTTCTTTATATAAAAATGATCGAGGGTTAAATTATAGAACGCTATATAATATATTAATTGAAGAGAAAGGATTCTACATTTTGAAGTCTTTTTATTAATGTATTTGTGAATATTTCCAAAAGATTGTAAATTTTTATAGAAAACATTAATCCGTAAAAGTAATGTACAGTAAAAAATTTCATTTATATTTTGAAGCATTAATAAGCACTTGTTAATTTAATTTATTGCGTATTTTATTATATATATATAATTGATATTTAGATAAAATAATTGACATTTAGATAAAATGTACTTATTATTGGACTGGAGTGTCAGATTATCAAATAGAGATATAGCTTGTCTTTACTACTAATTGATATTAAATATTTTTTTATTATCAAATTTGATATTAGGAGATTACTTTAACAATAAATTACTTCAAGGTGAAATATATTGTAATAGATTACTTGTTTAATATTTATGACTTTAAAGTTTTCATATCTGATAAAAATTCGCATATGTTTTAAATAATTATTTTTTAAATTATTTTTTATCTCGTCATTATTAAAAAAGAGATTTCAAGAAGATTTTACAAACATCAAAGTTCCGTTATTCCTTCTTTGCAAAAAGGAAATAATTTGAAATGTTTTGTTTGAACAGCTTAAAAAAGATAGAAACATGAGAAAGAGTGCGAAAATTTTTCCCACATTTCTACAATATTTACTTTCATGTATAGATCAGAGAAGCGATTGCAACCAAAAAAGTTATAAGCTCCTTTTTACGGTACATTTTTTAATTAATTTTACGTAATTATTGGATAAATTATTTTATTTTATTATATCTATATTCATGTTGCATAATTTATTTATCATACATTTATCAAAATATTATATTACTTTTTTATACATTACAGAATTGACTTTTTGTATATATGTATATTTTAAAGAAGTCTGACAAAAGATATACTTCCGTATTTTTGATGTTTGTCGATAAAACAAGTGCAGTTAAAAATAAAATGTTAATAATGTTAACATTTTATTTTTAACTGCGATAATGTACGTTTTAAATACGAGCTAACATTTATTTACAGATACGAGAGAGGGCATAAAGACGTAGAAAAAGATGATAATGCATGGAGTACATTTGGCGTTTATATATAGAATTGCTAATACGAGAGGTGGGGTTAGTATAACATTGTCAACTTTGTGCATTAACATGAGAACATAAAATTTTCGCAATAATTCGTTTCCATCATAAAAATATACGTTTAATATCCTTCGATTATATTTCTATTTTCCGAGTAAAATGCAATTTACATTTTACCTAAACCTAAAATGATAGTCGGTCTTATGAGATTCCAAATTAGAAATTGATATTAAATTAATTAAGATTTTATCGCAAACAAGAATAAATAATATAATATATAAATTTTTAAGATTTTTTAATTATAGATTTATTGTAGATTTTTTATATGTTGTTTTTATTATGTCAATTTGCTTTATTATTGTCAAGATTTATTTTCGGGTGAAATCGTATTTTTAAAGGGTGAAAAATCAAAGAAAAAAGGTCGGACAGTCCTATATAAAGATACTAATAATTTTATGCACGTAATATAAGGCAACGCGATGCGCAGTATATTCTGGACAATTGCCTATAAGTCTTATACAGGATTAAGTTTCATCTATTTTATCCCTTTGGTAAACATTGGTATGCCTGAACCACGTGTTGCTCTATCGATCAGCTATAATTCTTTCTTCGCAGCAGAGTTTGACCCCATTCGACATACTCCTTGTGACGTCGAAAACCTTCCACGCCTCTTTTCTTAAAGTGTTTTACCAAAAAAAAAAAAACGCGAATACGACACGTGTAAGAGGTTGTGCAAAAACGATATCCCACGAAACTGACGAAACACTCGAAGCAGATTGAAGCGGATCGATATGTTGATTCTATCAGGACCGCTTATAGTACAACCGGTGTATCAAGTTAACTGAAAAATTTAATTTTCATATTTTTACTGTAGTCTTTAAGTGATGCCAGACATGTATAGAATATATATTTTTTTATTAAAAATGTAATTACGTAAGAAAAAAAGATATTACGTAAGAGAATAATGAGTCAATATCGATGAAGTTGATCTTAATGTTTCAGAAATTAATTTGTAATAATTTACTTGAATATTGAAAATTATGAAAACATTTTACTAACAATTATGCATTTAATTATTTTAGTAATTGAAGATGAGTACAGAGATTTTCGATGACAATTGAACAGAAATTGGAGCGAAAGAGAGTACATTTAACATAAAAAAAACTCATTATTATCATGTGAAAAAGTCGTCTTTCTTTATTCTATCTTAGGAGATTAGATCTTAGGGATTAATTTAGTTCTCTTTCTTTATCATGGATTTAGTCTGTTATATTTGGTATGCTGCTGCGAGCAAAGGATGAGACGCTTTAAACTTGGAAACCGTGTGACATCCCAGATGGTCTACCAGATCGGCTGGATTCGTCTGGCTTTAACTGGATCGTGGCTGTTGGATCTCGAGATGTTCGGACTCGTTTGCGCCTATGCCAGTTGCGCATTTTCGAGAAATAATTGTTTGCGAAGAATAAGAAACAAAGCGACTCGTGTGTGGGGAGACTCGAGTTTTCTCGAGTCGTAGATAAAGATTTCTCGGAACCGAAATGCAAAAATCGATCACCTGACGCGTCTGTAGAGGTGCATATCGTGTTCCAGCTCTAACAAATTATTTTTTTTTCTTTTCTATTAACTGCACTGCTAGGTGCGACATTCTAGAG